TACTGTATGGGTGTTTGCCAGTACTGGATTGTGGCTGGAAGAGCATCCATAGCATAAAACATATGCCGGAATAGTTGGCGGTTCATTACCCAGAGATGGGTTGCGGCTGGAAGGGCATACGCTGTGTAAAAAACTTGCTGGATAAGTTGGCGGTTCATTCCGCTGTGGCGACCCCAGATTATTAAAGGAACTAAGCCGAGAAGAAAATGAATGAGTTGGCGGTTCATTCCACTGTGGTGACCCATAATAAATAAGGTACCAAGCCGAAGGGAAATGAAAATATGAATTTCCAAACAATAAAAAAAAAATGTGGCCAATTATGATCCCGACCGTCTAATAACTTTGGATTGAAACTAGTAAAAGTGGCTAATAAGCTTAAAGTTAGCGTGGCTTAAAGCTAATACAAAGCTCTGTTTATAAGCTATCAAAAACTCTCATTAGCTCTAAAGCAGGATGAAATCCACTTGGACAAATAGTTAAGTGGCACAGCAAAATTCCAGATCCGTTTTTTTCTGCACTTAAACATCCTCATCATGATTATTAATGTTGTTGTGTTGTTTTGTCCTCCTAGAAGCATGTGTGGAGCATGTGTTTCACATTTTCTCGTCTTTATTGCACTAGCTAACGGATACTTGCAAGAACTGAATGAGCCCTTAATGACTTTTTCATTTTGTATATTTTAGGTACAAGGACTACAGAGAGCCTCCATGGTCGAATGAGCCTTACCAGTTCTCCAAACAGTACTGGTCCGTGCTAGCGGCTCGGTTAGGTTTCGTCATTTTATTCCAGGTATGACATTTTTCCCGAAACATTCGTAATCAATCGCAGAAAACCCTGTTAATAGTCTGTGATTAGAGGAGTGTAAATGTAAAAGCCAAACAAATGAAAAAGCCACAGCATCGTCAGCCATTCAGCCGTGTATAAACGTTGCACGTGAAGATTAAGACTCTATATGTTGGTCAGAATAATTGCTGGAACTCACTAGAAATGTCCTGCTGTCAGCAGATGTGGGTGAAACTATTTCTATTGACATGCAATTATACCGTAAACCAAACAGTTAAAGGAATAGTTTGCCCCAAAACTAAATGTCGTTTAACCTCGGTGGCGTTCCAGACTCATAAAGTGACATTTCACAGTGATCACGGCTACCTAAAATGTAAACAAATTTTTATTATTTTTTTAAAATAAATTAATGGTTTTATAAGGGCAGGATGCTTTAAATCGAGTAAAATAAAATCTTAACATTTATTTTAGTTTTTTAAGGTTTAAGTTCAGTCAATGGCATTTTTAGAAACAATTGAGTAGGTGTTTAAAGTTAATATTTTAACATTTTTACTGTATTTTAATTGTTTATTTTTGATCCAATGGATGCATTATATATATAAGTTTTTTTTTCTTTTTTAAAATATTTCCCAAATGATGTTTAACAGAGTAAGTAAATTTTCACAGTATGTCTGATAATATTTTCTCTTCTGGAGAAAGTCTTATTTGTTTTATTTCAGCTGGAATAAAAGCAGTTTTTAATTTTTCAAACACCATTTAATGTCAACATTATTAGCCCTTAAGCTATATATTTTTCGATAGTCTGAATTAACCATCACTATACAATGACTTGACTAATGACCCTAACCTGCCTAGTTAACCTACAGTAATTAACCCAGTTAAGCTTCTAAATGTCACTTTAAGCTGTATAGAAGTGTCTTGAAAAATATCTAGTCAAATATTATTTACTGTCATCATGGCAAAGATAAAATAAATCAGTTATTAGAAATGAGTTATTAAAACGATTATGATCCACTTGTGGAAATTTTTAGTCAAGTAAAAGTAAAAGTAACAATCTTAAAAGTTACTCAAGTAAAAGTAAATAAGTACCTTATAAAAAAATTACTCAAGTAATTAGTTACTTAGCAAGAAGGTCGCTGGTTCGAGCCTCGGCTGGGTCATTTGCCATTTCTGTGTGGAGTTTGCATGTTCTCCCCGTGTTTGCGTGGGTTTCCTCCGGGTGCTCCGGTTTCAACCACAGTCCAAAGACATGCGGTACAGGTGAATTGGGTAGGCTAAATTGTCCGTAGTGTATGAGTGTGTGAGTGTGTGTGTGAATGAGTGTGTGAATGTTTCCCAGAGATGAAAACTTGAGAAATTTATGAAGCACTTTATGAAGGCAAGTTTCAGTATAAAACAATTAATGTCACATCACCAGACTATCCAGCGTTTCCTCAAGAGTTTCAACTAATTTCGTTTGTTTCATTTCTAACTTTCGACTTTTGTTTTAATGGAATTTGATACCCCATGGTGAACGGAAAGAAAAACCTCTGCATTTCATGACTCGGTGATCCTTTAAGATAACCAAAAATCGCTGCTTACATGGTAGACTCTTAATCAGAGTGTTATCTTAAACAAAAACTCTAATAAACAATTTTATTTTGAATTCAAATACTTTTTTGTCCTGCGTTTACGTTAATTTTACATTTGAATAGCCAAAATTACAAGTTTTAATCTTTTAAATGTGATTAATCACGATTAATTGCAAAAAAAACGATTAATTAGTTTTTTTTTTTTTTTGCGATTGACAGCACTAGTATAGACACAATCTGACATATAAAAGATCCTCCATCTATTAAACAGAAAGCCATATTCTTCCTCCTGCACTCCATCCATAAATACACACACATGCAGTTGAAGCCAGAATTATTTGCCCTCCTGCGAATTTTTGTTTCATTTTCAAATATTTCCTAAATGATGTTTTTCAGAGCAAGGAAATTTTCACAGTATTTTTTATAATATTTTTTCTTCTGGAGAAAGTCTCATTTGTTTGATTTCAGCTGGAATAAAAGCAGCTTTTGATTTTTTTTTATCCCATTTAGAGGTCAATATTATTTGCACCCTTAAGGAATTATTTTTGATTGCCTACAGAACAAACCATCGATATACAATGACTTGTCTAATTACTCTAACTTTACCCTAATTAATCTAGTTAAGCCTTTAAATGTCACTTTAAACTGAATACTAGTATCCTGAAGAATATCTAGTCAAATATTATGTACTGCCAACATGACAAAGATAAAATAAATCAGTTATTAGAAATTAGTTATTAAAACTATCATGACTATAAATGTGAATAAAGAAAAACTTGAAATTGGGGGAAAACATACAGGGGGCTGTAACGTGCATGCATGAATAAAACCTGGGTTTAACCCACTGATGATCTCCACTTCCTCCAGAACCTGGTGATAATCATGAGCATGCTGGTGGCCTGGCTGATCCCGGACATGCCCAAAAACATCAGTGAGCAGTTAAAGAAGGACAAGACTCTTCTAGTGGACGTCTTCCTGAACGAAGAAAAGGAGAAGCTGCAGCTGATCCAGAGCCTGTTCTCCAAAGATCTGACCAACAAGCAGCAGGAAGAGCACCAGCAGCAGGTTTCGGATAAAACCTCGCTGCCTCTCCAGCAAAGCCAGCCTGGCTTTCTCCCTCCGTCCTCATCCCCTGCCTCTACAGCTCCTCGAACCCGAGCACGAGCCGCCAGCTTCAGTCAGTTCACCCGGCAGATGTCTATGTCTCCCCGCAGGGACGTCACCCAGCACACGGCGGTGTGACGGGACGCTGGACAAGTCTTGGAGGATTTGCTAAAGCGTGAGGCTTGAGTTTTGGGAATCAGGTGCCCGCGTTTGTTCTCCTCTTTAATTTTTGTTTGTTTTTTTTCCACACCGGAGCACTGGATAGTACATTTCGAAAGTCTATCTCGGATGTTTCAGCCACGTCTCGAGCTTTCGCAATAGGGGGACGCAATCATTCCATATGCATTGCAAAACACGCGATGAACGCAGGATGTTTATCGAATAAAAAGAGCACTGCGCACATATTGGTGACGTCTTGCAGAATCTGTTACATGCTGTCCAAACTGCACATTGTCCACAAGATGTAGCATATTAACGGCAAATAATAATAATAATAATCGTTTTCTCAGGTAACAGCGGCACTGTAGGCTGTACTCGTTCATTAATGACCGCTCTTGGATTAAGCAAGACTTTGGTAGTAGGTTAAGGTGCAACGATGACAATTTCAATCTTGGACGTATTCTGTCAAACTCTCTCTCTCAAAACCATGCAGCCCTTTCGTAATGTAACACATTCAAGTCGCCATGAAATCAAGGTAAAGATTGTGTTTTTTTCTGCTATCGTGACTTGGATTTGGTCCTGAAATGAGAGAACGATGCTTGACTTTGTTTTCCATCATCAATCATGCTTTTTCCAATCATATTTCGTAGTAGATTGGATTGTTGATAGATGGACATGTTTAATAAAATGAAGGAAGAAATGAGATGCCCTCATATGCACACCCCAACAGACTGATAGCACCACCCTAAAGGAATTCCATGGGACCAGGAAGTAAAGAAAAGTCTTTTGGAGTAGCAGGGAAGATTATGGTATTTGATTAAAGTTTGTGCACAGAGACATTATTTACACTGCAAAAAAAGGCTTTTCTTACTTAGATTTTGTCTTGTTTCTAGTCCAAAAATCGAACGATTCATAACCTTTTAAGGCCCAAGGTGTGTTTTTACGTTAATTTTTTATTTCTCTTTTGCCACTTGGACTTATTAGAACCTAATTAGAATAAAAAGCTAAGTATCATCTTTTGATATGATGTACTTTTAGAGAAAAATGATGTCCATATGTGGACTTGTGGTCCCAATTTACATAAAACACTTATTCTCAAAAAAGGTTTATGCAAATTTAAGATGATTTTTTTTTTATTTGACAATTAGAGAGTAAAAACAACATTTTTTCCCCATTTTGGAGAGTTAAAATAGTGTTTGGGACATTTCATATGCTGCAAAACAGTTGCAGGATGACACTGTATGTCTGTAACCAAATATAAAACATTCAAAGTTCTCTGTGGTAGTTAAAAATCCCAGGATGTCCTTCGAAAACAAGTAGGGGTTCAACCCCAGCATCCTGGCCAAATCTGCCCACTGGCCTCTGTCCATCATGGCCTCCTAACCCTCGCAATATCATAATTGGCTTCATCACTCTGTCTTCTCTCCACCAATCAGCTAGTGTGTGGTGTGCGGTCTGGCACAAAATGGCTGCCAGGTGGATGCTGCACACTGGTGGTGGATGAAGAGATTTCCCCCACTTGTGTAAATCACTTTGAGTGTCTAAAAAAGCGCTATATAAATGTAAGGGATTATTATTATTATTATTATTATTATTATTATTATTATTATTATTATAAAGTATTTTAAATAGCCACTTAAGAGCTAAAATATGCTGTCCACATAAGAAGACAATCGGGCCCCCAGCATATTAGTGTTGTTTTAAGAAACAATATGCCACATTTTACCCAAGTTTTTAGCTTTAAACCAACTAAATAATCTGCCAATGGGGTAAGCAAAGTAATCTTGTGTTAGAAGGAAAACACAAGAATATTTTCAGAAAATAAAATCACTTTATTTTGGCATATTATTTTATGTTTAGATCGTCTAGAAAATGCTTCTTGATTTAAGAATTGTTAGTTATTTGCACTAGAAACAAGACCAAAAATCTAAGTAAAGCATTTTTTGCAGTGTATAACAAGAACTACTATTTATACACTACCTGACAGAACTCTTGTCGCCTATCCAAGTTTTGGGAACAACAAATAATAACTTGACTTCTAGTTGATCATTTGGTATCAGAAGTGGCTTCTATGACAGGCAAAGGCCTCTAGATTGCGCTTATTTCGCCAAAATAAAATATGATCATGCCTTGATTTTCAATATGGTAGAATGACTTAAATCACTATTGTGTATGACTCCCATGAGCTTGGAGGACTGCATCCATACTGTACATCTCTGCAATGGCTCTAATAAATCAAATAAAGTCATCTGGAATGGCAAAGAAAGTGTTCCTGCAGGACTCCCAGAGTTCATCAAGATCTTTTGTATTCATCTTAAATGCCTCCTCCTTCATTTTACCCCAGACATGCTCAATAATGTTCATGTCTGGTGACTGGGGTGGCCAATCCTGGAGCACCTTGACCTTCTTTGCTTTCAGGAGCTTTGATGTGGAGGCTGAAGTATGAGAAGGAGCGCTGTCCTGCTGGAGAATTTGCCCTCTCCTGTGGTTTGTTATGTAATGGGCAGCACAAATGTCTTGATCCCCCAGGCTGCTGATGTTGCCATTTGTTTTGCAGATCTATCGCACGCCCCCATACTGAATGTAACCCCAAACCATAATTTTTCCTCCACCAAACTTGACTGATTTCTATGAAAATCTTGAGTCCAAGCGAGTTCCAACAGGTCTTCTGCTGTATTTGTGATGAGTGGGATACAGTTCAATCTACCTTCTGCCACTTTTCCAAATGATCAACTAGAAGTCAAGTTATTATTTGTTTATCTTATAACTAGGATCAATGACAAGACTTTTCTCAGGTAGCAAATTCTGATTTCATGGCGACTTCAAGGCAATGTAATTAAACTTGCGTTTGTCAATCCTCATATTTAAGCTATGCCTCCTCCTGGGCTGTAGATTGGGATCACACACACACACAGCATTGGCTGTATTTATGGTCATGGAGCAGCTGGTCTTTTTTTGTGCCATGTCAATGATAATCCTCCCATGAGTTCTGCCGGTGTGGGAAGGTTACTGTCATCCAGGGAGGAAGCAAAGGATGGATGTTGTGTGCCAACATCTGGCCATCAAGTCCTCATTCACTATGCCTCATAGGACTTAATATCTCATGCAAGAAGAATAAATATTTAATCCCAATTATGCGCAAGTGGATTTTCTTTCTTGTCCCTGTAGGCATCGAGTCCCGCGGGGTCAGTTCACTAGCGTTCTGATATCCAGGTTGTTTTGTTCGACTCTAATACTCTGATGATTGGCACACATGCTTAACAAAGCCAGCCCTTTTCTGTTCTTACTGGAGTGAAATGCTTTTGTGTTGTGCACCCCCTCCCCAGAGCCATATTTGATTTATCCCCGGGGGTCTGAACTTTACAAGAGGATTAAAGTCTTGACAGATACGATGAAGTCAACCCTATGGGCTTCATAGTTTCATTATACACCCAGGCTCAATGTACACGTAAATATTTGCATTACACACAGATTAAAAAGCGTAAATGTGGGCAAAAGTTAAGCAGCTCAAGTGCATTAGATTGCTGGCATGCATTTTAACAGCTTGTCCCATATATTGGTCATCTGTTTAGGGCACGTTAACCCATTTGGACACTACTGATGCGATTTAAAGAGATAGTTCACCCACAATGTAAAATTCAGTCCCACACTTTTCACTTGTGCAGACGTGTTTCAAGTTGCTTTATCCTTATGAACATAAAAGCAGATCTCTGCCGAAAACCTGTAACCATTGACTTCTATAGTATTTGCTTTTCCCATTGGAAGTCAATGGTTACATGTTTTCAGATTACTTTAAAATGTCTTTTTTTATGTTTAAAAGAATAAAGAAACTTAAACATGTTCTCAACAAGTGAGTAAATGGTGCATAGATTTTCATTTTTGGGTGAACTATCCCTTTTAATTGACAGTATGTAGATGTCATTTAAAGTTGCACAAGCTTATTTGACAATAATGACAACTGATAATTGCAACACAGGCTAATTGTGAAAACGTAACTCTGTCTACATTTCTAGAGAGCACGAAATATGTACCCAGAGGTAAATCTGGCTGCATTTCGTCTTTAAAATCTTTGGCAAGTTTGCCAAGTATCTCGCTGCATACGTCATTAGATTTAGGACGCAGAGCAGAGTTGACCGAGACGATGGGGTTTGAGTCTGCTAAAAAACGGTTTCAGAAAGCAGATAAAATAAAAAAATTATAAAATAAATAAAAGGCTGAAAACTTGGTGAAATCACGCAGCCATGACGGCTTTTCTTTATCAACACTCTCAGAAATAAAGGTGCGCGAGCTGTCACTGTGATGGTACCTTTTCAAAAGGTACAAATTTTTACTTTAAAGGTCCATTTTAATACCTCAAAGGTACATATTAGTACTTGAAAAGTATAAAAGTGTTCCTCTTAAAATTTTTAGGTGCTAATATATACTTTTGAGGTACCAATATGGACCCTTTAAGTACAAATATACACCATTTAAAATGATACCACCCCAGTGACAGCTCGCGTACCTTTATTTCCGAGAGTGTAGATTGCTCTTGAAAACACTATTGTTTAGGTTTAGGGAAGAGGGTGGGTAGGTCAGTTGATCAGACAGTCGATCGGCATCAAGCTGACCTAGGGTGCGTTTCCCAAACAACGGCGCAACCCGCGGCTGAACTATCATAGTACGATGCATCGTTTGGGAAAAGAACGATGTAGTGATGAGTGTTTCCCAAAACCCGTAGTTACTCTATCAGTACTCTATCTAGCAGTTTGCGAATGTTCGTTGGAAAGATGGATATGGGAAACGCCAAATCAACAAACTATGCTTGTAACAACGGAACTTGCAACCTTAGTTGGCTAACGAATGTTTTCAAAAAGGCACACCTGGTCGACTAAAGTGTATAATGCGCCCTCTAGTGGATTTACGTGAGAAGAAGACGTGTGAGAGAAATTTGAGATCACATCGGCTTCTAGCGGATTTGCAAGAACAAAAACTGCGAGCAGACGTACCTCCGGCTATATATTTCAATGTCTCCAATTAGTATCTCCAATGTTTATCCAATTAGTAGTTTTTAGTAGGTTACTGATACAACTTAAGTGAAAGTGCATGACGTAAACCTATACAGTCACTTTATTTAGTGCTATTACAGTAAGTGCAAAGATTCGTCACAGTTAATCACATCCAAAATGTGTGTGTACTGTGCATATATCTAATATGTATATATTAATACACACATGCATATATATATATATATATATATATATATATATATATATATATATATATATATATATATATATATATATATATTTGAGAATGTTTATTTAAATATAGGATATGGACAAATTTAAATATCTATGTAAATATTGTTTTGTTTTAATGTATAAGTGTGTATTATCCATACATAATATATACATAAGTTTATTTTGTATGTGATTAATCACCGTTGATCTTTATTTACACTATTATTTACAATTTGTTAGTACAAAGGTGAACCCTCTTTTGCCTTCAGAACTGCTTTAATCCTTTATGGCACAGATTCAACATAACTAGAAACATTTATCAGAGATATTGCTCCATTTTGACATGACAGCGCCAAACAGTTGCTGCAGATTAATCATCTGTACTTCCATGATGTGAATCTTGCTTTCACTAAATCCCAAAATTGCTCACTATGAGCATATTAAACTCCCTGCAATATTCATGAAAGCAGTTTGAGATGATCTGAGCTCTGAGATGTGTTGTCCTTCAAAAGATGTGGTCATAATAGCTCAATGCTCAGGTAGACTGTGGTTTTTAAACTTTAGATACAAGGAAAGATGCATCCATGCCTTTATGTTGTTTACACCAAATTATGAGCTTAATCTCGCATGAAATCCAGCATAACCGTTCACACATGTATTAGCATTGCAAAACATCAAGGGTCTCATTTATATACCTGGTGTACGCACAAAACATGTGTAGGATCTACTGTATTGACCTTATTCTAAAATGCAGAAGTGCGCCTGTTTTCGCGATTGTCTTAGAACTTCCGTTTCAGTC